CTTTTTGATGTTGATATGTTCTCAGGTTCCTCCTATAATGACAAAGCAGAGGGCAAGAAAAAAGGGCGTCCTCGAGTGGAGGTACAGGAGCTGCGCAATATTCCTGTGAGTAAAGCATTAAATATATCTTTTGGCCACTGATAAAGGAGCGAAGTACATGCCAGATTGGGATTTTGAGTGTTTTTTAAAGCCGTTTGTGAAATGAGTAAGGGGAATTTCCAAAACTACTTCCAACTGTTGAATTTGGAAGAGGATCATCTCACAGAGGGCTGAGTGTTAGTCAATTGATTGCTAATAGTTTGCAGTGCCTCTTGTGTATTGTTTGCTTTTCTCTCGTTGAAGGCCCATATGATGGTTCAGTGGAAAGAGGAGTTTAAGAGTCGTTCCAGGGTGAAATGTCCAAGCTCAGGCTGCTGGCTGGAATTCCCCAGTATTTACGGACTTAAATATCACTATCAGCGATGCCAAGGGGTAAACACTAATATCCATTACACTGCAAAAAAAAAAAAAAATACGTGTATGCACTCAGTGGGGGTTTACACTATAGTCAGTGGGTTGTATGGACAGTTTCCGACTAGTCAAGTCAAGGTTATGAAGTGCTAAAGGTTTGGGTTGGTTTAGGATTGCGTCAGCTAGGACATTTAGCTGCAATAGCTTGGAAATGTATTGATACTGGCATACTTGTGTTGTTTTGGCAGGTGTCAAAGAGGATGAATACATAGATTTCTACATTTATTTTGTCTTGAATATAAAGTTTGGACGAATACATTTAACCTATTTAAATTTTAAATAATTTGTGAGATTATAAACATCTCAACTTTTAATCAGTTTAGTGTAATCCTGGGAATTAAAGCTATTACATTTTTAGTCAAATCTTAATGATATGATAAAATCTTAATATATGTTTACTAAATACACAGTGTATATTTACACAACTGATTATATATATAAAGAGAGAACGCGTGTTACATTGGGTACTTAAAATCATCTTGCTGAAAAATAGGTGAAACCAAGTGGATTGAAGAATTGTACAAATATGTAAAGATGTAAAATGTCAATTGATTAGCCTTTATTGGCATCTCTGTGATCCTTAAATTAGAGATGTCCCGATACCCTTTTCGATACCGATTCCAATACATGGACTGGTATCAGCCGATAAAGTGCTAACCCCAGACCTGGGTGTGTATTTGTGCACCTACTAACCTTGTTTGAATTTATCTAAATGTTTTATGATGAACTTCAAACTTATCCTGTAATAAAACATGAACAAATACATTTAGTGAACTAGAGTATTTTATTATAAGACACATTTAACAGTAATATTATTTACTCTTCCACACTGAAAAAGAACTTCATATATATATGTATATATATATATATATATATATATATATATATATATATATATATATATATATAGATAGATAGATAGATAGATAGATAGATAGATAGATAGATAGATAGATAGATAGAAAGATAAATTACACCACTTTTCTTGTAAATGAACATTTTTCTATCAGACTCCTCTGTTTAGGTTCAGATGTTTTATATATTGTATTATATTATTATAGATAATGAGAAGGTTATTATCTGGTAAATAAAATACTTTTTTTTTTCTCCAAAATTTCACTTTTTAGATTTTTTTTGCCATCAAAACGAGCTAAATCCACTTGTGCTTTTTTGCAAATACCTCTAAATCCACCTATTGGGACAAGACTGTTATTATTTGAAAATCACTAAAGATGCAATTAGAAATTATTTTATTAAACTTAAAACACATTACGCAAACCACCTAAAATATAAAATACATAAATATGTCAAGTAAGTGGCGGTTCATTCTGCTGTGGTAACCCCTGATAAACCAGGGACTATAAGGCAATTGAATGAATGAAATCTGTCGAGTAAGTGCATTAATCAATAATATTAAAACTAGCATTAATTAATTGTTAACAATCTGTTGGTATTTCTGATATTTTGGATTTTGATTTATTAAGGTTGTAATGTAAAAGTAATGTAAAAAAATTTAAACATTGCAAACTAAGCTTTTTAGATTCAAATAATGTAGTGTAAAAACATTGTGAAACATCAATGTCTGTGCATTGTCCATAATGAAAAAAGGAATACAATTTATTAAAGTAATATACGTACATTAGCAAATAAAAGACAAAGCCTACTGTGCAAAAAAGGGGATGTCTCTCAGACAATTTTAAAAGCTGTCACTCATTCATTCTCACTATGCTCAAGGTCTTGGTCTCTTTTTTGTCTCTTGTTTATCCACAAAAAAAATAGTATCTTAAAATGATCTTTCGTGAAATTGAGTTGCCGTTCAATGTCAAGTAAATCGAACTCATTCAAAGTACCAGCACTGCACAAAAAAAACATGAATGCATGCTGCACTTCCGACTGTACATTTGTGTATTCTTTTTCTTATGATGCACAGGGACATTTGAGGGACATTTTCATTTTCATTTGACGTTCACTGACAGTCGAACAGGCTCATCAAACTCCATCTTTTAAAATGTAAATTGGAATTAGAATAAAACAGTCTCTTCATAAAGGCCGACGTATCAGTGCGCTGCTACAGTGAAAAGCTATGATTCGATTTGCGTTTTCTGCTTGTTTCTCAGGACATAGCAGCTTTTGCTGTCAAAGGCTAGTGGCGTTTAGAGGCTTTTGCCAACAAACTGTTATTTCTGAATAAGCTGGCGCTGCGTTTGAGATAATTTGATGCAAATATATGTTTTGTTTGTTGAACATTCGCTTAATGTCATTACCTCATTTTTGGTGGAAGTGTCGTTTAGCGGCACACACACTACCTGACACACGCACACACACACACACACACACACACACACACACACACACACACACACACACACACACACACACTACCTGACTAGACTCTTTCCGTCGATCCTAGTTGTGAGAGCAAAACTTGTTTGACTTCTAGTTGATGATTTGGAAAATTATGAGAAAGTAGATTTTTTTCAGATGAATCATCTATTGAGCTGCATCCCAATCATCACAAATACTGCGGAAGTGGAGCCAAGATTCTAATAGAAACCAGTCAATTTTGGTGAAGGACAAATCATGGTTTGGGTTTACATTCAGTATGGGGCGTGCAAGATATCTGCAGAGTGGATGGCAACAACAACAGCCTGAGGTATCAAGACATTTGTGTTGCTCATTACATTACAAACCACAGGAGAGGGCAAATTCTTCAGCAGGATAGCGCTTCTTCTAATACTTCAGCCTCCACATCAAAGTTCCTGAAAGCAAAGAAGGTCAAGGTGCTCCAGGATTGGCCAGCCTAGTCGCCAGACATTAACATTGATCATGTGTGGGGTAAGATGAAGGAGGAGGCATTGAAGATAAATCAAAGAATCTTGATGACCTCTGGGAGTCCTGCAAGAATGCTTTCCTTGCCATTCCAGATGAGTTTATTAATAAGTTATTTGAGTCATTGCAGAAATGTATGGATGCAGTCATCCAAGGTCAGCGAAGTCATGTCAAATATTAATTATTTTTCCACTTTTTCTTTTTAAACTGTACATTATTTCTGTTAAGTGACAAGGTTTTTGTCTGAGCAAAGTCAGACCTTACTGTCCTAATTAAATAGTTTAAAAGTAAATAGTTTAAAAATAAAGTGTATTCTAGAGGCATTTGCCTTTCATATAAGCCACTTCTGACACCAAATGATTTACTAGAAATCAAGTTATTATTGGTTGTTCCTAAAACTTGGATAAATGACAAGTCTTTTTTTCGATAGTATATACAGTTGAAGACAGAATTATTAGCCCCCCTCAATTATTATCCCCCCCTGTTTATTTTTTTCCTCAATTTCTGTTTATGGAGAGCAGATTTTTTAAACACATTTCTAAACATAATAGTTTTAATAACTCATTTCTAATAACTGATTTATTTTATCTTTGCCATGATGACAGTTAATAATATTTTACTAGAAAATTTTTAAGACACTTCTATACAGCTTAAAGTGACATTTGAAGGCTTAATTAGGTTTATTAGTTTAACTAGGCAAGTTAGGGTAATTAGACAAGTTATTGTATAATGATGGCTTGTTCTGTAGACAGTCGAGAAAAAAAAAAATTGGTTAAAGGGGCTAATAATTTTGCCCTTACAATGGTTAACAAAAAATTGAATACTGCTTTTATTCTAGTCAAAATAAAACAAATAAGACTTTTTCCAGAAGCAAAAATATGATCAGACATACTCTGAAAATGTCATTGCTCTGTTAAACAACATTTGGGAAATATTTAAAAAAGAAAAAAATTAGTAGGAGGGCTAATAATTCTGACTTTATCTCTTTTATTTGATTTTTTCAACACATTTTTTAAATGTATCAGTTGTAATAACTAGTTTCTAATAACTAATTTCTTATGTCTTTTCCCAGAAGAAAGAGTATTATAGGAAGTGCTGTGAAAATCTCCTTTCTGTGTTAAATATCACATGGGAAATATTTGAAAAAGTGTAGAAATTATTCAGGAGGGCTAATAATTTTGACTTAAGCACACATATATGAAGAGATCAGATGCAAAAGCAGCTAAACGCCACTTCCGCCAAAAATGAGATAATGACATTGAATGAATGCTTTAGGCACGTAGTACGCCATTAACAAAAAGATTAGCTTTTTATCATTAAAATCGCAGCATCAGCGTATTTAGAAATAAAAAGCCCCTAAACGACACTTGCCTTTGACAGAAAAGCCGCTATATCCCAACAACCAATCAGAAGACACAAATCGAATGATATGTTTTCAATGTAGCAGCGCGCTAATACGCTGACTTTATGAGGATTTATTCCTATTTTACCTCAAAACTCATTTGAAGAAAAAGAAAGCACAATGTACAGTTGGAAGTGTAGCATGCATTCATTCATCTTTTTTTTTGTTTTTGTTTTTTTTTCGCAGTGATGCTATTATGAATACTTTCAAATTTTTTGTAAAGTGGTGGAAATCACATTTCTGTGATTGCTGTGTTTGCATTCTATGCAGCAAGGAATTGACTTTAGATTTAAACAAAGCTAGCGGGCATAACTGTATGTCTCATTGAAGAAAATGGTTTCAAAGACTCAGCAACACTGATACGAGAATTTTTTGTGGTATCAGTGGCATCTCTGATACTTGTATTGGAATCGGAACAACCTTAGATATAAGCATTTTTCCCTTACATCAAATATTTGTGCTATAAACATATGACTTGCAAGCTTTTTTGACATAAAAACTATTGTTACTCTTCTTGACATTTCAGTGGACATTTCAATCTTTTATAAAACAAGTTGAAGATTGGGCCACCACTGAACCGTCTTGACCCACCTTCTTTAGTGAAAAAAAAAAAAACTCTGGAAAGACCCAACCAATTTTTTTTTGCTTACATCTGATACCTATAGCACAGAACTTAACTGAGTGTGTGTGTTTGTGTGGTATTCAGGCGACCATAGCAGAGAAGCTGTGTCACAGCTGCCCGTACTGTGAAGCTGTGTTTGCCACCAAGGTGCGTCTTCAGAAGCACAAGCTGTGGAACCATCCAGAAAGAGTCACCATGGAGACCAAACCTGACCCCAAACCCGAACCCAAACAGCAGAAAAGCCCCATGAAGGGAAATGCCAAAAAAAGGTTTTAACGCTTTTTCTTAATCCAACTTTAGCCATGCATGATACATTTCCACAGCTAATATGTGCGCAAACACTTTATTTGGCACTCAGCTAAAAATGATGCCTTGTTTTCCATGAGGTCTTCATTATGTCCTAGATGATGTTTCTATGGTGTGGCTCCTCTGTGGATTGACATTAATAGGCTGTGTTCCCCGTGCTCCTTCTCAGGCCCGTGGAGAACAACCCTCCGTCGCCTCTATTTTTCAAGGTGAAGAAGACACAGGAGGCGTCTCAGCCCTCACAGAATGGGGATTGCGCCCCCCAGAGGCCGGACAGAAGACAGCAGCAGAACTCGTCTGTAGACACCGGAGGCAGCGAGAGCGAGGGGGGCAGTTTACCTCCACCATTCCCTGAGGAGGACCCAGAAAGAATGAAGCACAGTAAGATTGCTACACACTGAGATCATGACTGCTGGCTGTCACAGTAACTAATAACACCTGACATGATAGTAGGGTGCAACCAATACTATTCTTTATGTTTCTCTCTCTCTCTCTCTCTCTCTCTCTCTCTCTCTCTCTCTCTCTCTCTCTCTCTCTCTCTCTCTCTATATATATATATATATATATATATATATATATATATATATATATATATATATATATATATATATATATATATATATATATATATTTAGTTTCATGCAACTCAAAAATTCCTAAGTATAACACTGAAAGCTGAAATTTGATTTCGGTCTTCAATACGGCCTCCAATGTCTTGTGAATGTCTTTCCAAAAACAGGTGTATAATTGGACATGCCCAGAAAATATGATAGTGACTTTGTGATAGTGATAGTGAATGTATGTATGTATGCATTTATGTGGGCATATACATTAGATTAGATGATGCCAAATCAAAACTGTAATCAATCAAATAAAGTTCAATCTTAAAAAAAGTTTAATCTTTTAGCCTCGGCTAAATTGTCCATATATGAGTGTGTATAAGTGTGTATGGATGTTTCCCAGAAATGGGTTACAGCTGAAAGGGCATCTGCTGCAAAAACATATTCTGGATAAGCTGGCGGTTCATTCCGCTGTGGCGACCCCAGATTAATTACTAAATCGAAAAGAAAATGAATGAATAATTGAATGAATGAATAAATGAAAATCCTACTATGCATACAATAGATTCATTTTAACAACTCAAAATACTAGGTTGTTGCTCACAATCCACATCTTCGTCTATTATGGTTGGAGCTGTTCCTTCTTTGAGGAGTTTTTAGACAAATCCATCATTTAACTGGAAGAGATTCTGGAAGCTCTCCTTTGTCAAATGCTAGAGCTATGTATTTTTATAAATCTCCGGAACATAATTAAAATTAAATTGTAAGTACTTCTCTCTTTTTGTTGTGTCCGTCAGAAGCACTAATACAGAAACAGAAGAAGCTCTGTGGAAATAGCAGTGTTTGGATGGCATTTTACCTTTCTCTGCTATAACATTACAGCACCTTTGGCTACGCCCCTTTGCTGCACGCAGTTGATGCATGTAATTTAAAGCTTTTGTGATCTCACTAGCCTGGATGTATTTTTTGTAGTCCCCAAACTTCATACTGTAGGCTTTGCTGAGCTAACTCTGTAAAACTTTAAGCGTATTGCATTGAGAGATGTTATGTTCACATAGCAACATTACACATGAACTTAAGTTTAAATATGATATCGTAGTGGACCACCTCTTTAAAATAAGCACTATATATAAAACTCACATGACATAAAAAAATTCTGGACAAAAGTAAATGAATGATTTCTCGGTGTGTGTTATTTTAAATGTTTTTACGTCAAAATTATAACAGCAGTCATTAGCATGTCCCAGAATGCCCTCATTGGCGTTTGTGTAAAGTGTTGTTCTGGCCCTTTAAGTAGCAGTGTGTGAGAGCTCAGTGTTTGTCGGTCATTAAGTCTCTCTGGTAGCTGGTGGCACTGCTGTCTCTGTCTCCGCCTGGCAGAACCGCTGTGTGTGTTGAGATGTCGGCGCGACTCGTGCTGTGAGTTCGCTATTTATGGCCTTTGTTTGGGTACACGATCCCTTCGTTTGTTGTTCCATTCCAGAGCCAGAGGCGAGGACTGTGTGTGTGTGTGTGTGTGTGTGTGTGTGTGTGTGTGTGTGTGTGTGTGTGTGTGTGTGTGTGTGTGTGTCTGAAATGTCAGGAGGAAAAGACTTGAGCAGCTGTGCTTGTGTGACATAAGTTGACAAGCAAAGGTCATGTGAATGCATACACATTAAGATGTAAGATACGTAACCTCAAACCAAATAGTATTCAACCGTGTTCAACATTTCTCACATTAACACAATATATCTGCTTTAGATAAGAAAATTGTTATAAAATATGACAAGATCTCAGCTTAACTGTCAGAACAAAATCTTCTTGTTAATGTCAGATAACTTTGAAAGATATCATGGATTACAAGCAGCCAAAAACAATTCGATATTTACACCAAAAAATACTTTGTTGGTCACCCTTACCCTCAATGACAGCTTATAGTCTATGCTGTCAAGCATATTCATCAAAGCTGAACTTCAGTATTTAGACTCACTGCAGCAGCTTCTTCTCTTCCTGTTGATTTTTAGTTCACCGTATGAAGTTTTTGGATATAATATGTCACTTTATTTAGCTATCTATATAGCAAGATTACTTTATTTAGCTTTCTTCAAGAATATAAATGAACTACTGTGTCCTGTATTCATTAGTAAAAAAAAACACTTTACTTGAAGGGAGTGTTCATAAGACGTAATCATGATTATGACATTACACACAGAATTATACATGCTTATGACAACTTTCATCAAGTGACCTTCGCATAGTTGTCATTTTAAATGCAAAGTTGATATAGTTTGAGATGTTTTATATGACAACTTGACATAAACAAATACATCATAACATGTCTTTGTCTTTGTCTTGACAATTTGGCATTACCAAGACAACAAAACCTGTGAGAGTCTTTGTCATGACAGCTTGACAATAACAAGATGACATAACTTGTCATAAACATTACTAAGCAAAAGTGTCAATACACTGTGAAATTATTTTATAACAGCATTGTTGGTATTTAATGACCATTTAATTCCACTTGACATTACCAAGACAACAAAACCTGTCAGTGTTTTTGTTGTGACCATTTGACATTAGCAAAGAGGACACAACTTGTCATAAATCTGTCATAAACATTACTTAGCAAAAGTGTCAATACTGTCAAATAATTTTAGAACAGGGTCGTTGCTATTTAATGAGAATTTAGAGCCACTTGACATCTCCAAGACAACAAAACCTATTAGTGTTTTTTTCATGGCAGCTTGACATTAGCAAGATGCCATCACCTGTCATAAATCTGTCATAAACATTACTAAGCAAAAGTGTCAATACTATGTCAAAAGATTTTATAACAGCATCATTGAAATTTAATGACAATTTAATGCCACTTGACATTACCAAGACAACAAAACCTGTCAGTGTCTTTGTCATGACAGCTTGACAATAGCAAGACAACATAATTTGTCATAAATCTGTCATAAACATTGCTTAGCTAAAGTGTCAATACACTGTCAAATGATTTTATAACAGCATCATTGAAATTTAATGACATTTATTGCCACTTGACATTACCCAGACAACAAAACCTGTCAGTGTCTTGGTCATGACAGTTTGACATTTGCAAGGTGACATAATTTGTCATAAATCTGTCATAAACATTACTAAGCAAAAGTGTCAATACACTGTCAAATTATTTTATAACAGCATAATTGAAATTTAATGACATTCATTGTCACTTGACATTACCCAGACAACAAAACCTGTCAGTGTCTTTGTCATGACAGTTTGACAATAGCAAGACAACATAATTTGTCATAAATCTGTCATAAACATTACTTAGCTAAAGTGTCAATACACTGTCAAATTATTTTATAACAGCATAATTGAAATTTAATGACATTCATTGTCAATTGACATTACCCAGACAACAAAACCTGTCAGTGTCTTGGTCATGACAGTTTGACATTTGCAAGGTGACATAATTTGTCATAAATCTGTCATAAACATTACTAAGCAAAAGTGTCAATACTCTGTCAAATGATTTTATAACAGCATTTTTAAAATTTAATGACCATTTATTGCCACTTGACATTACCAAGACAACAAAACCTGTCAGTGTCTTTGTCATGACAGCTTGACAATAGCAAGACAACATAATTTGTCATGAATAAGTCATACACATTACTAAGCAAAAGTGTCAATACTCTGTCAAATGATTTTACAACAGCATCATTGAAACTTAATGACATTTATTGCCATGACATTACCAAGACAACAAAACCTGTCAGTTTCTTGTTCATGACAGTTTGACATTAGCAAGGTGACATAATTTGTCATGAATAAGTCATAAACATTACTAAGCAAAAGTGTCAATACTCTGTCAAATGATTTTACAACAGCATCATTGATATGTAATGACATTCGGTAAAGATTTATTGAAAAATATTACCAATGCTGTTATAAAATCATGACACTATTAAAATCATGTCATGACCCTATTAAAATGGCCTAATAACATTCATGTTTATGACAAGTTTATGACATGTTATTTTTTATTTGTTTAATAATGTCAAATTGTCATGACAAAGGCACTGAAAGGTTTTGCTATCTTGGTAAAGTCAAGTAGTCGTGACAAAAACAAAGACAGGTTATGATGTAATTATTTGTCTTGTTGTTTGTCTAGTTGTCATAACAATGATATCTCAAACAATGTCACCTTTGCATTTCAAATGACATAACTGAGCGAATGACAGTTGATGACAGTTGTTATAAGCATGCATTGAACCTCCTTCATATTAACTGTATTTCGTGGCAGTCTTGTGAACACCCCTTCCTGTAAAGTGTTATTAAAAATAAGGATGTTTGGCTTTATCTTAGCTGTTTCAGTTTCTCCACAGGAGTAACCGCAGCATGTGAAACAGTAGGTGAAGTTTGAGCATCATTAATGAGACTTTAATGTACAACAGAAGCTCACAAGTGCTATTGTTTAGCACCACAGGTTGTCATACAGTAACAGTGAATGCCATGTTATTGAGATGTTTGACCTCTTGTTGTTGTTCTTCTCCATTTGAGCCAGGGAGGAAGCAGAAAACTCCAAAGAAGTTCACCGGGGAGCAGCCGTCCATTTCAGGAACATTCGGTTTGAAAGGTATTGCAACACAAAAGCTCATACATCTAATTTTATATAATAGAGAGTGGGAATCGCCATTGCATTATATGTAGAAATCTTCACATTGCATCACACATAAGATACATTTAGATCCAAAGCTGCGAATCTGGCTGGAATATTGCATTAACATTTGCAAATAAAGTCAATCCAGTTTCAATCCAATTGGTCAGCAAAAGTAAGCAAAGTTGTAACTTTCTGATATACTAGTGGGGTATATCAAAAAGAAAAATGGAATTTGCTGCAGTAGGAGAAGCCACTGGCCTTTTTTCTTATGTTATGAATTATTTGGGTAACACTTTATTTTGATGGTCCATTTGAGTACTAGTAGACTGTCTGCTTAAGATCTGTTGATATGCTTCTTCAACAAACATTTAACTGACTATAAGAAGCTTTGCAATGAGAATTAGTTGGCATATAGATGCATAACTTAAATTCAACAAACAGACATCAAAATAAAGTGTGACCATTACTTGTGCTTCAGAAGAAGAAGACGACTCAGTATTATACTTCGAGGGATTTTAGACTGACCAAACCAACATTTCACATGATGTACAATGTGATAAGGCTGATTTGTTCATTAACACAGCCCCATCGCACCCATCCCATGATCTGGTAAAACAAAATAGCATGTCTTTTTTTATGCGCATGCTGGAATTTATTTTGTAAATAAGTTTCCGTAATTTTTTTATCACAATTTTTTAAAATCGAATAAAAAGTAACAAGTAACAAGTAAAAAAAACATTGTTTGCATTGTAAATGCGGTCAACTTAAAGTCATTTGCACTATATGGTCTTAAAGGAATAGCTCAGCCAGAAATAAAGAACCATGAAACCCCCTTGTTTCAGCAGGGTTTTTTCACACCTCTACTTTGGAAAAAGTCAGGAAAGTGGGCATGTCTGTTTAGGGGGGAGGGTCGGAGGAGGGAAAGTGGGAATGTCTGTAAAAACTTGCATAAAAATGGGAGTGTCGGTTTGGGCACGCGCTGATTTTCACAGAAGTAAAACAAACACAGACACTGAGGAGAAAGACAGTGACTGTATTTACATGGACATCAGTAATCAAATGATTTGCCAAATTATTAAATGGTGGACTTTAACTGCAGTTTGGCAGTTAAAGTCCTTCTTCATTTAGGAATTTCATTTATGCCCCTGGTGACAAACAATATATTTGATTTGAGGAATTGCTGTAAGCGTGCATTTTTTCTGCAATGTTTGTTACTGTACGGCGAATGCGAGAAAAAAAAAAACCCTCTGCATTTTCCGGTAACTTAGATGCACACAGTAGGTAGCGTCAGAAAGCCGTGTGTGTTATTCCTGTCACAAAATGTGGTGAAAATCCTACACAACGGTAAGTTTGGTTGTGGTGCTTACATGTTTACACTCGAAGAACTGTATTTACAGCTGATTTTTCCGTCCATAATATTGTAGTGATGTTAATGTACAGTAAACTGTGTTAACTTAAAAACCATTTGACTAATGTCCGTCTTTAAACACTAAAAGAGTACTGAACACGATACGAACTAACTTTGCCTCTGAATAAACGAACAAAGACCACTGATCGCTTACCAAATCTATACAGACAGAACAATCAACACCAACTGGAGCTGAGTTTTTTTTTAAAAGGAGATGGCAAATCCGAAATTTACCATTTCCAGATGAGAAAAGCTCTTGGCTTAACAATGTTCCTTTGACACATATTTCAGACGAGCGTCGTGTGCACTGTAATTAACACGTGAGTCCAGCTGCGCTTTCATAGAGGGAAAATGAAAAAAACCTTCACTGCAGCAAATTATAAAAGCAACACTGATGACCCGTATCTCCAAACAATTATTGTTCTTCCGCCTGGCAACACAACGCGGTGTCTCTCTGCCGTCTAAACACTTTAACAGGTAGAAAACATTCTTTGAAGCTATCATGCATATTAATGAAGTTGCACCGCATACACAATAGAGCGCGCTGATTGGTTTGAACCAAGTCTTACTCTTGAATGAATGCAGCACACTCCAAGAAGTCATAAGGTACTCCCAGGTACAGACGTCCAGTCTATACGATCGAATACACGCTAAGATCTCATGTCATGATGCAGCTTCAAAAATTTGTTTCAAACCGGAAATACGAATTTGCTCGAAATAACGCAAAAACAACCAATTTTCACTTTTTAGTGGAATAGATGTGTCCTAATAATGTTTTTAGCAGTGTGTGACACATATAGGACTGTCAACAGCTCAAAAAATGGGTTTTGGTGTTTCGTGACCCTTTAATATTCTGTCCTAATTTAGTCTCCCTCCCTTAAGTAGTTATTCCATGATTTTACATTTGGAAAGGAAATGGTGATCTTTTAAAACTAATGACTTTTTAAATCCATAATTAAGACATTTAATGATCCTAAATGCAGAGGGAGAGGGGGAGAGAGAGAGAGGGAGAGAGAGAGAGAGCAAAGACACATGGGGACCTGTTTTTATTCACACGCTTTTATTTAAATACCCCTAAATGCTTTTTTACAGTTTGCAAGTATCTATTTTTAGTCATAAACCCAAATGAAATGCTCCAACAAGCTCTTTTTCTGTATGAACTTGCCATTTTCAGTCTTCACATGTGTATTTTAAGCTTGTAACTTTTATTATTAAAAGCAAGTGTATGTCTTCTGGGTCTGATTTTAAGGGGGGCCCATTTTTGTTGCTGTAAAAATAAACACACTGTGTCATCTATAAACTGAACAGTAAATAAATAAGCATGGCAGTTAAAACCAAACAACTCAGACATTGAACATCAGACAGGAGAAAATGTCTATAAATATTTCAGAAAAGACTAAACATGCTTACTGAACCTGGCAATGAAGGTCTTCTTTGGAGCTCACTGAGCCCTGAGGTGGAGCTGCACTAGAAGGCACAGTGAGCCTTGAGGTGGAGCTGTGCCAAGAGGCCCACTGTCAAATGGGAGCGTGCTATTCAAATACAGTAGTCTAACAAGAAATAAATCTGTCAGAGTTTGCTATATCATTTCACCTGCTTTAGCCATGGCACAACAGTAAAGTTCCTTGATTATTACACCGGAACGATCATAGAGTTCCTATACATATCCGTAACTTTTCATTTTTCATCAGTCTTTGTACACAATGCAAATACAGATTATCTGAATTCAATTCCAAATTCAAATGTTAACTTTAGGTTACTTATAAAATGAGCCTATTTCCAAACAAAGGTGAATGTTCCTTTAAGATTTCAGCTGTACTTTTATGCTCCTGTATGTTTATAATTAACATCCATATACTCTCTGATAAAATGACCCCTGCTGCTGCTAATAGGCATCTATAAAGTTTTTCAAGACGTGTTTCATTTCCTGTTGTAAGCTGTAATCTTACATTATCAAGTAACGTGATATCCCAAAACAGGCTACAACACAACACAATTTTCTGACCCCCAGGAAAATTTGAAGGGTTTAATTTTCTCACTTTGCTTTTGTTTGTTCATCTCAGTGGTGCTTGTGTTTTTGTGACTTGTGAGGTCTTGGCTGTCCCTGAGTGTGTGATTTTGTTATGTGTTGCACAGGAATGAATAAGGTGGAGGAGAAGTTAAAAGCAGGCCGGATGAAGCGGGCAGAAGGGACTCAGTTCAGTGAGGAGTCCCCGAGGAAGCAGTCGACTCAAACTCCCAACAGAAAAGAAGCTAGTTCAGGTCTCTCTTTACTCTCTCTGCATGACTTGGATGATGAAATCATGGAGTGCATTTGCATGGGCCAAGTAGTGTATAATGTACCTTTTTCACAGGAACGTTATGGCTTGTTTAACGATCATCAGCATCTTAAATCCTTGAAAGTTTTTAATATTTAAATAAAAATAAAAAAACGACTGAACATTTATATGGGTAACACTTTATAATAACTACACACTATAAATCATTTATTAAGCATTAGCAAATAGTGCATTCATTATCTGTAAAGCATTAACTCTACATTACTAAACGTTAGTAAGCAGTTTATAACTGCAGCTACAAATGCTGTATTCTTGACTTATAAGCAGCTATATAATGTGCTTAATAATTGTATTTTCATACTCTGTTAATGATTAATTTTTCATTACTAAATTAAGTATCGCATTATTTACAAACCAGTTGTATTTAGGAGTAGTTGAGGGTTTTCAGGACCATTCAGAATGAGTTAGTAAATGATTAATAAACTATTGAAATCAACATTCATATGTCTTATTATTCAGGCATATACTAATAGTTAACTAATATGTTAATAAATGCTTTATTAACTCAACTTCATGCAGTTTTGTGACCTAATCTAAAGTGATGACTATTCATGCTTTATAAATGCTTTATAAATGACAAATAAAGGCTCTATCAAATGAACGATAATCTGTGCAATCTTTCTAAAAAGTAAAATTACTGTAAAGTTTAAACATTGCAAAATAACAGGAGAGTCAAAATACAACATCCAACTGGATAAAAAAACAACAATATAATAATTTAACATTATGATAAGATATAATGTTTAAACTCTACAGTGATTCTATTTTAGATAAGGTTGCAAAGATTTATTTTTCATTTGAAGTACAGTTTCATTTGTGTATTTTTAAATGAATAGAAATGAATAATGTATTTTTTTCTGTTTAGAATTTAACTGAGCCTTTTTTTGTCATTTATAAAGCATTTATAAAGCATGAATAGTCCTCACTTTAGATTAGGTCACAAAACTGCATGAAGTTGAGTTAATAAAGCATTTATTAACATATATAGTAACCATTAATGTATGCCTGAATAATAAGACATATAAATGTTGATTTCAATAGTTTATTAATCATTTACTAACTCATTCTGAATGATCATAAAAACCCTCAACTACTCTTAAATACAAACAGTTTGTAAATAATTCGATACTTAATTTAGTAATGAAAAATAAATCATTAACTAAGTATGAAAATACAATTATTAAGCACACTATACAGGTGCTTATAAGTCAAGAATACAGCATTTGTAGCTGCAGTTATAAACTGCTTACTAACACTTATTAATGTAGATTAATGCTTAACAGATAACGAGTTCACTATTTGCTAATGCTTAATAAATGATTTATAGTGTGTAGTTATTATAAAGTGTTACCTTTATATGTATTCATGTATGTATTATATCAAATTTGCATCAAATTACAAAAAACAGACATGAAAAACTTTATAACACCATTGGGGAGCTTATATTTTATTATTTTAGCAAATAGGATTTTAAAACAAATATTTGTTTTACTCTCCCATTCATTGCGCTCTATGTTTAGCCAACTATAACTTCCGGTGCTGAAAAAATCCGGAAATGTGAAATAACAATAACAGTACAAGTTAAAAAGGGGTCAAAAATAGTGTTTCAAGCATCAAAACAAAACAAAACTGTAATGTAATTTACATTATTTTATACAGTATAATATGTAATACTTAAAGAGACAGTTCACCCAATAATGAAAATTCGTTTTCTTATCCTCCACTTGTTCCAAACCTGTTTGTGTTTCTTTCTTCAGTTGAACACAAAGGAAATTATTTTGAAAAATGTTGGAAACCTGCAGTGGTGTAAAGTAACAAATTACAAATACTCAAACTACTGTAATTGAGTAATTACACTGTAATTGTAACTGTAACTGTGAATAACTTTAGTTTTCTCAGGAATTGTATTTACTAAGTAGTTTTAAAATGTGTACTTTTACTTTCCCTTGAGTACATTTTTAGTGATGTATCGGTACTTTACTCTATTAATTTCCTTCAACCTGCAGTCACTACTTTATTTTTTGTTGTCTATGGGGATTGGTTACAGTAGAAAAATCAATCTTGTGATTTCTGTCTAATCAAATCCCGCATAGAAGGCAAATCGCCTCATAATGAATGACCTAAAGGGCGATTTATAATAGCAGCAAACTGTTTGGAAGCATTAAAAGTGTCCAAGAGGATGTCCAAAATCTTTACAAGCAATAACAAATAAATGTCTGTATTTGAGGTCAATATGATATTTGTTTAGAATGTTGGCTCAACTTTCGATTTTGGTCACTTTCTAACACAACCCAAAATCAACCAAATATCAACTTCATTAGATATCATTATTGGAAATAATCAAAATAATGTTGATGGTCTAGCCAGCTTAGACACTGACTAGACATTGAATGTTGGTCACCAGATGTCACAACCTAAACCTATGCTAATATTAGCATCTTATGACATTGTGTGCCTGCTGGATATTGACTCAATGCATTACAAAATGTTACATTTACACACATTCACAAATTACATAAAAAAATGCATCAGCTTTTAACAGCATAATACTCACTACTCACTACTCTTGAGTACATTTGAAATGTTATATTTACTCCTACTTTGAGTAATGTTTACAGCAGATACTTTTACCCTACTTGTGCTACATTTTGAGCAAGAAATGGTACTTTTACTTGAGTAAGATTTGTCAGTACTCTTTCCACCTCTGGAAACCTGTAACCATTGACTTCCATACTATTTTTTCCCACTATTGAAGTAATGGTTACCGATTTCTAACAGCCTTCAAAATATATATTTTTTTGTTTTTAACACAACACAGAAACTTTGTAAGCACTTGTAGGCTGAGTACATGGTGCAAAAATGTTTATTTTGGGGCGAACTATTGCTTTATTAAGTAATAAATCTTTATATTTTGTCATTATCCTTCAAATTACTAGATTTGCCCATTTGACATCAAAACGTTTCTTTTAAAATATAATGGTTTGGAAAAGTCTTTTTATGTATTCCAATGACCAGAAATAGTATGTTTTTGACTGTTGAAACATTTAAGTTATTTTCACACCAGTTATTTTAAAAGATTAATGCGAACACTTTACTAAATATTTATTATGTTTATGTTTTTTTTTGTATGGATATTTTTATTTAAATAAAACCGCTTTTGTAATTTGTATTTAATATGGACATCAAATTGGAACATCTTGAATTAATTTCTATAATGAAATATTAATTATATACTGTACATGTGATATAAGGAAAAAAACTAATTAAATGTAAATCTAAACTGTAAATAAAAATGAACTGTAGCAATGTCGACTAGCAATACCACAAGATTTTGACCTTGTTGGGACATTTTTTGGTCCTCATAAGGAAAACGGCTCGGAAATCACTTAGACGTAAGTAGTTTGGTAATGCTAAACTGCTATTTGATTTCTGTGAGGGGTTTGTACAGTTTGTACAGTATAAAAATAATTTTGTCTATGGGAAGTCCCCATAGGGATAGCTGTACTAATATGTGTGGAAATTCGCATTACCTTCAGTAAATGGAAAAAAAGGCATATAATGTATAATGAAAAAAAAAAAACCCTGTTAATTAACTGTGCTTGATCTCTGTGTCTCAGTGCCTCCTGCTGAAGCCCAGTGGCAGAGCACCATCTCTGAGAGAGGAGAAGTTGTCTGTCCGACATGCTCTGTTGTCACTCGCAAGACCGTACATGGTCTGAAGAAGCACATGGAGATCTGTCAAAAGGTCAGAGTCCTTCTGGACAACTGGAAAACTCAACATCATCACAGCTTACTTTACAGAAACACATTATTACAGAGATTCCCATAATTTTTTTTCAGATTTTCCATTCATTTGGTATAACATAGGAGTGAATGTGCTGTGAATGCATGATAAATGGAGTTCTTATCACACAAAAGCAGGGGTCATCTAACTTGTTCCTGGAGTGCTGGTGTCCTGCAGACTTTAGCTCCAACCCTAACCAAGCACTAGCTAGTCAGGTCATTCCTGGTTTTACTAGGTATACATAAAACTTCCATGCAGGTGTTTTGAGGCAAGATGAAGATAAACTCTGTCAGGACACCCTCCCTCCAGGACTGAATTTGGTAACCCCTGCCCAAAAGTAAGAGATGAACTATATTGAGTCATCATCAGTAATTCCAGACTTACTTTGGTTTACACTTATATAGGTTTGTAGTAGATTTGCACAATGACACTTTATAGTCTTCATGACTGACATGTACCAAAACTTCAGAAACGGTAGTAGTAGCTGAGGACTGGAAAAGTTTGTTCCACATACATTTCCAAAGGATGAAAGCTCAAGGTCAAATTGATAATGTATAACTGACACCTCATATCTATGTGCCTCAAGTGCTGAAGAAACGTATACTCAAATATGGTAAAAGACATTACTGTAAGTATTTGACAAATCACTACAAACTAAGCCATCTGACCAATTGGAGAAAAGTAGCTTCTCAGAAAGAAGTTTAGAGGGGCTTAGAGAGACCTTAAAGCAATCTTCATTTCCAGATAGTATGAGCGACAAATATTAGGACAAAAATTAGGGTGAAAAAAAATAAGCAATGTTTTGTTTGGGCATCCTGATCAGTTCAACCAGTGGAGTTTGGGAATGGGGAGATACTAGGCTTAGCCGATGCATCTAGTTCTCCTCTGGCCAAACAGAAAGGGACAGCTGCAGTCTAAGGACATCCAAGGGCTTGAGAAAGGTGTAGGTGCAGGTCCTATCTGATAGGATGTTAGCAGAGATTCAGCTGTCAATTGGGTCTTTGCAGGAATCAGTCTTGTCCTCTAGACTCGTCGATGGCCACAACAAACATCTGCTTTGGTTACAGGCCAGATCCAAGATTATGTTAACCCCAGGGTAAGGAGAGACAAACAGACAGACTAACGTAAGTGTAGATGGTGTTCAAAATCCAGAGTTTATTGGGAAGTGTTCTGGGCTCCGATTTCCCCGATTAATACAGCCTCAAGCCACATTCACACTACGAAGTACTCACAACAGCAAAGCGACAAGCGAGCATTCATTTCAAGGGAGGGCTGGCGACTTTTGGTGACATTCATGTCTACACAAGCAACAGTGACGGCTGGAGTGCGGATGTGGGCTGGTCGAGCGGTGTGAAAAATTTGAGAATCCTTTAAAGAGCTCCTTTATACATGAAATAGCTTCATATTTTTGTTGTAAGGGTCTCCAACAACAATCTAATATGCATGCAAGGTCAAAAAACATTTTCATGGTCTTATAATCTGCATTTACTTTTACCTAATTATCCCAGCGACTCCCATACGAATCCTTCAGTGATTCATTTGTACCCAAACCCCTCCGTAGCGCGAAACTAATCTGCACTGATTGGACCGATGACAGCCTGCTGTGATTTGTCGACACTGACAGCCTTCAGCACGACAGAGTGAAATGCCCAGCAGCTAATCAACAATATAAAAGTAGTCATAGTGCATACACACTTCATAGTGTAAGGCGTGGATTTTAGCTGCCAGTGGGTAAATGTAAATACAGACAATGGAGTGGAAAATACAGACGACTAACTATTTATTGAGCAAAAACTCCAAGAACTGGCAAGGTGATCTCCTAGCTTTACATGCGATATGAGAATATAAAGTGTTAACCTGATACATGACAAGTAACAAAACACAACTAAATACATAATTTGCAAGGTAGAGTAAACGAGGCAACAATTTAAATCGCACATACATACACTTGAGAAATGGAGGAAGAAACTGATCCATGATGCACTGATCCATGTTCTGACATAGTCCATCAGAAGTCTTTACTGATTCTTCCTTTAACAAACGGCTGATAAAGTCTTCTTTGTAAGCATGTAGTTTCCAGAAGCAATCAAACTCCTCAATGCTGGGCTATAATGCTGAGGTTTCATCTTTGGGTAGGGACTGTCAATAATATCCATCTGCACGGTGTGACTTCATTCAACCAGCGTCTATGTGTGTGTGTGTGGCTTTTTTTTGTATTAGTGGGCGGGGCTGCAGGTTTCAAATTTCCCAGGTTTGCGCGCACAACTACTTGTGTTTTGTAGCCACATCATCGCGAAACACCTAATGACTCGTTATCAAGACGACTCATTTGAAGCCCTATGAGTCGACTCTTTTATAGATGAATCAACAGTTTTAAACACTGTACTCTTACAGATTTAAGCTGTATATTTAGCTGGGTATTTCACTTCACTTAGAGCTGTTACACACTACATGGAAGGGTATTTTCAAAAACCCATAAAATGGGCTCTTTAACTTTTATGCAAATAAAGAGGGACTTTCATGAGCAACAACCAATACGAGCATCAGTACAGCTCATGTGATCTCAGCAGTGGTGATTAGCAGTTAGCAATTTTCCAGTCTTGTATGATATGCTTGGTTTTCATTCCAAAATGTTTGTTTTTAAAGCCAAGAATAAATTAATTCATAAAAGTTCCCCAGGCAACCAGAGGTAGGGCGCATTCACACATAATGTGTTTTCTCTTTCCAATGCTCTTCTTTTACATTGTTTTTCAATGTAAGCACACATTTGATGGACACTTGTGTCTTTTGATGTTGATGTAACAATCAGAGTTTAGGCGCCAGACAGGTAAAAGAACCTACTGCCTACAGTGATTTTTTATATTTTAGGAATGACCAATAGTCCAGAAGTAATTAAACAAAGTGTATGAGAGGGGCTGTAATTCAGTATTATACTCTATTGGTGTAAAATCTAATTAATAAGAAAAGTGTTGAGAAAAAAATAATTAAAAAACTACAGTATTCGAAGGAACTAATGGAAAAGAATCATTCACATTTTAATCAGCCACACTGATCACGCCCGTTTCACATGGGGCTTCAGTGTCAGTGCCTGATGGATGGCGTGACTAAAGTTTAGGCTGACGTAATCGTCATATGAAAGTAGTCCATAATCGGCTACTGTCTGTGCTAGGGTATTTCGATAAATCGATCTGATTGGCTGATGCTCCGCTAATAAAGCGGCACCGACAAATCCACAATTCAGTTTGGCAATGCTTGATGTCACTCATTCAAAGTGAATGGAAAGCGTTGATGCTGACATGGGATGTTACTGTTAGAGAAACTTTTTTCCTCTCGAGATATTGAGCAATTTTCTCTTGTCAACAACCATGGAATCTAACTTATTAGATGTAACACAATGTCCAGCTACACATCACCATAGACCTCTGTCATTGACGTTCACATTGACCTCATGAGGAGTCATTCAGCCTTACAAAGCTTTTTTTATCAGTTATTGGTAATTTAAACAGCCACTAGAAACAGTCAATGCAGAAATTATTACTTTAAATTAATTATTTAATTCATTTTCATTCGTCTTAGTCTTTTCTTCATCAGGGGTCACCACAGCTGCCCTTCCAGCTACAACCCAGTACTGGGAAACACCCATACACTCTTACATGCACACATGCCATTTTTGATATGTAAATGAAGTGATAAAATGCACTTGCTTGTAGATGACATTTTAAGGTTGACAAATATATAAGAGAGGGAATACACCTTTCACAATTATGTCATTGTAAGAGATATGTCAAATATAAAATGTCACCTTTACAGCTGGTGATTTCATTATATTTGAGGTCAACATCATAAACTCTGGTCTGTTTTTTTTCTTTCTTTCTTGTAGCTGCGGGATGCTCTCAAATGTCAGCAGTGTCAGAAACAGTTCCGATCAAAAGCTGCACTCAATTACCACAACATGGCTGACCACATTAAGGTAGGTGACAGTGCAGGACAAATTTCATTGTTACCTTTTTAGAGATACTAGAGCTATAGTAGAGCATAAATGTCAAAACTGATGAAAATATAGGATCAGAAATAATAGGGCTTTTAGTACTGTGCTTAACCCTGGGTTATCATCATTCTAAACACTGCTTTTAACTCTGAGTAAAGAAATATTTCACACATGTATTTGTAAGTGTTGTTATCAATGCATTTTGCCCAGGGTTATGAAACGTTGCTGTGTAGCAGGTTTAGCACTGCATTAGAGCTGTGTTAAGTGCTGTGCTAAGTGTGCTCAGAATGGAATGGAGCAGTGTTGCAATCAAAAATTGGCTGTCTGCAATGGGACTCATGCCACCAGGATGCACACATCATGTTAGCAGTGTTCATTTTGACAGCAAATTTTGATTTAGTATTTTTGACTAAAATGCCATTTAGATTTATGTGTTCTTCAGCATTCTTGTGTCCTTGTGTTCCCTTGTAACGTCATCATCAACCACCAAAGTTCAGTTATTCTCAAGATTACAAGAACGGAATGCTCGCTCTACAAGTCCTATAAGTCATTCTAGCTGAATAAAGGAGGTGGGAAGCGCAGTATTTTATACCTAAGGTTAGGAATATAACTTTTAATTATCTCCGGAGATTTCATAAATGAGAAGGTGAAGGTAAACATTAACATGAAAATCTTAATAAAGGCATAAACACATTAAGGGTGTTTATTTTCCTGAAATTCATATTAAAATTTGTTTTAGTTGTATTTTTGCAAAGTATATTTGCAAGGCTTTTGTGCATGTTATATACTTATTAAAAAAAAAAAAAAGATGTCGTTTGGCTTGAAGCTTACGCTGCTGTTCTGAACCAATAATCGGAAACAGAAAGCAGTTGAGGGATGGCGTGTTTAAATAAGTTATTTTTCTGACTCTATGGTTATTAATGTGACTTCATTAAAGTTGTTATCATCATTTCTTAAAAGAAAAAATCTCAACGCCTTAAAGCAGTCAAAGTTGTTTATTAAGTTACATGTTTAAATATACAGACAGTAGAATGAAACAAACTAATATACTGTATAAAGAAATTAGCTATAACCTCCACTGCTGAGCAACAATGATAGTGAAACTAGCCAGCATATGAGGTTATGCACAGGTGTGCGGGAGACGCAGAGTAAAAGCCATTCTTCCAGATCAACAGTTACCTTTCCTTATTATACCTTGAGCAAAGCATTGTTACACATAAGTGAAAACCAACACCCAAAACAAGCCAAACATGAGAGCAAAGTTGAGGATATAAAGTAGGGTAGAAGAACATTAGCATACTCTCCTCAGGCCATGACTCAACAATAGTAAATATATTGTATATTGAAATACAATCAATCAATGTATTGGTTGATTTTATCACTACAACGCTTAAGTCATAAACTGTCAAATGACACCAAACATGACAAAGTTATATGAAGAAAATCACAAGCAGATTAATTGTGCATGGTGAAAGGCACATGGTTACTGTAAGCAAATGACAGAGATTTGTATCAGAGCTGTGATGAACTCTGCCATGCCAGCAGGACCCATCCCATGCTTGGAATGTCTTAGTAGTCCTTCATTAGCATAGAAGGAATAGTATATAATATTTTCTCAGCTTACAAAATGTATAATAAATAAATTAACAGTAAAAATGTGTAAAGGTTATGTGACCATAAGGGTGAACGCAGCATCTCATTTCTCAGAGGATGCATTTAATGTTCTCAATGTCTACCAAGTTTGTTCTTCCGACATAATGTGAGTCCATTCGCTGCGTTTGTGAAATTGAGAAACAGCCTTAGTCCTATCTTAGCCATCTAAATTTATTGTAGTTTTAGTAAACTAAATTTAATATAGTTTTAGTCTACTCAGGAAGTTCAGACTGCACGATTTTCAAAGTAGTCACGTCACAGATGTTTTCAAACTGCACTGACTATCTGGGGTAGTGTTCTGCAGTGTTTTCCTCCATTTCTTGTGTCCAAATAGACCAAATAAAGGCCTTTTCATAACCGAAGCCATGCTTCTTGATATTGTGCTCTTTACCTTCATAACTCCTCCCTTAACTTCCCCCTTGTCTGGATGCTGCTGTAGATAATCGATGATGTTATTTTCACTCAGAACACTTTTTACACAGCATGACTTTGAATCGCAGACAGGTCCAGATATTTAGCGTGTTAAATATCTGAAGGGTGTCAACGACTTATCAGCGATTCTCTCAGATTGCATATTTGATAGTTCACACTGAGTGATTGGTATTAACGTGAATGAGCGGTGATTTGTCTGTGAATTGTTGTCGATTTCTCAAAACCTGTCAGAGTAAAATCAGAATTTATCTACTGTAGATTTAGTTAACTAAAATCTAACCAGTTTAGTTTAATTATAATATAATTAGGGCTGTTAAATGATTAAAACAATTAACGTAATTAATACTTTTTTGTAATTAATCATGAATAATCACTAAACGTAATTAATGCAATTAATCATTATTAATCACAAAATGCTTTATTTATTACAGAAATAAAAACACAGGCATGTACTGTAAGTGCCATTTGAATTAAAAACAATCAATGCCAATAACAAACAAAAATTATTTCCATGTTGGATTCTAAGTGGACTACAAACTCATAGACAATTTGTGCAGTACAGTGCACCCGGTAAGCGAGGGATCCCTTGAGATTCATCAAAGCGCATGATCACGATCATCAAATTTGCTTAAACTAAGCATTCAGTCTGGCATATTTTACAAGCAAGAATTCTGACCCAGCAGCGTGAAGCAGATCTTTTACAAAAGTTACGTAAAGAGGGGAAACATGTCAAACTTAATGAAACATTTGAGGGCTCATGGAAGCAGAGAAATGGGTTGACTTTGACAGCATGCGACTTTATTTGGCACTTTCATTGAGGACATTTATATGGACACCATTACTCTGCTTTTATGATTAAGATTATATTGATTAAGAGTCTACCATGCAAGCAGCGATTTTTGATTACTTTAAAAGTATCACGCGAGTAAAGATTAAAAATCAAACACCCAAAATTGCATGAAACTTTGGAGGAAACGCAGGATAGCCTGGTGATACAACATTAATTGTTTTATACTGAAACTTTCCTTCTAAAAGCACGTCATTGGTCTTATCCAAAATTCTTTGCATGTTAAACACACACAGGGCCGGAGAAAGCTGTACTGGCACTCTAGGCAAACTGCAATCACTCCGCCCTAAACCCAGAAGTGAATAACGGTGGAAAAGTGACCGGCTCCCGGATGAAAGTGAGGATTCTGAGGGAGGGGGTAGGTGTAGCGGATGAAAGTGAGGACCAGGGGGTTTGTTCACTATTCTGCTGCCCAAGGCGGCCACCTTGGTCGCCTCTATGGATGCGTCTGCCCTGAACACACGTCGGCCACAACAGGAAATTAAAAAACTGCAACTTTTTGCGTTATTTATTTTTTACCTTTTTAATATTTAAAATGAATCATGTGCGTTAATGCGCTAATTTTGACAGCCCTAAATATAATCTCTACAATTTTCAAAGCTTATTATATATTCCTGGAGAAAACACTTATAGGCATGAATAATATTAAGGTTTAAACAATACAAGCTCAGATTTAACAGTTTTGGTGTAACATTAGGCCTATTCTTTCAAGCAGACATATCTATTTGCATAAGCTAAATATAATTTATTCTACTGTACTGAAATTGCTACTTACATTGCTGTCAGTTTAAAAACGAATTTATCTTTTTTATTAAGCTTTTATTTTTTCAGACTTTGCTGAGACCATTTGTACAACCAAATGATGTTGTATTTTAATGGGGAAAATGGTGCAGAGTAGTGATGTCAAGGCAAAGAAATTTTTATCACGGTAAATGCAAAATTGCCAAAATCGAAGTTAAAGTAGGAGTGTGTTGTGGCAAATGTCAATGAATACCCAGGGCATATTACTAAACAGCTAATTTAAAACAGCTAAAGACCCACACAGCAATATATATTTTTTATAACTGACTTAAAAATGTGGAAATGCAGTGTAAAAAGATTGTCTGTTGTTGCCCAATCAGCAACAGTATTGACCCAGGGTGAAGGAATGTACAGTGTGAAACAGGAGTATTCGCCAAGCCCAGGTATAGCATTAGCAATGTGAAACGGGGTTGCAGATAACCCATGATTCCATTTTTCCGTGGTTTAGAATAACCCAGGGTTAACAATTTCAAATGTTAAAGCCATAATGTGTAAACCCTCGAAACACTTCTAACAGTTCTTTTAGCTTTTAACTACTTGTAATTAGAGTACTTACTAGGGAAGTAATACACTTACCGTAATATTATAATCTGTGTGGACTAAATGTAGTTCAATGTCATTTTCAATTCAGTACAATTATATTATACAGTTTATATTTCTATTATTATGAATAAAACTATTATTATATTATGATTATAAAAAACACATTATCATCACAAGAAGAAATGTGTTCCAGCTGTGATTTTAAAATACATCTCCAGTAATGCTCATGCGTTTGTCTTTTAATGGTTTAAATATGGTTATATAGTTTAGTGTAGAATATAGACTACTTTAAATATACTTAAAAATGTTTTTTGCTATGGCTTAGTTGGCATTTCTGTGTGGAGTTTGTGTGTTCTCCCTGCTCCGTTTTCCTCCACAGTCCAAAGACATGCGGTACAGCTGAATTGGGTAGGTTAAATTGTCCGTAGTGTATGAGTGTGTGGATGTTTCCCAGAGATGGGTTGCGGCTGGAAGGGCATCCCCTGCGTAAAAACGTGCTGGATAAGTTGGGGATTCATTTTGCTGTGGCAACCCCGGATTAACAAAGAGACTAAGCTGACAAGAAAATGAATGAATGAAGGAATGTTTCTTTGCTCCTTGTTCATTCTACTTATTTAAAATCAGCTGAAATGTCACAATTCTTGAGATTTTTGGGGGAATAAATTAGATGTTTTATGTTCAATGCCCTTAAAGTTGTAAAAACAAT